GTAGAGCTGGCGACCCATGTACCAAGACTGAGTCCTTGCTGCAGCGGCCCAGGGTTCGAATCCGACCGGTGGCCCTTTGCTGCGTGTCGTCCCCTCTCTCTGCCCCCCCTTCCTGTCTGTCTCCAGCTGTCCTATCAAATAAAGGCATTAAAAGCCAAAAAAAAAAAAAAAAGTTTCATAACCACTTAAGCAATACCTTTATTCTAACTAAAGAATGTAAATACTTCACTGCTAACAGGTTTCACATCTAATCAAGTGCCTACCTTCATAAAGCTGCTGGTCTGCTCTGGATGCAGCAGACACACGCGCAGCTTGTTGCCTCTGTAAGGCATCTCCAACATGTCGAATGCCAGCGCCTCAGGGACTGCGAGCAGCACAGCAACCAGCCAGATCAAAGTGACTTCCACGGCCTTCCACAGTGGGATCCCCATCCCCTTCACCCTGCTCCATGACGTCACAGCATGGTAGCTACACAAACAGCACACACATATATGTTAATTAAATACTTTTAGAGCGAATGTTTGTGTCTGTGGGTGTAGAGTTGATGTCTACCCACCGGTCAATACTGAGGGCACACAGGCTGAGGACAGTGATTCCCACTGAAGCTTTCTGGATGAACGGCATCAGCTTACAGACGTACACCCCGAACGGCCAGTCCTCGGCTATTAGCTGTGTAAGAAAAACGAAGAGGAAAGACATTTGTAGTGTCACCTTTGTAAACACATGGACAGATAGCTTTGAGATTCATGTAGGGGTCCTGTCTTCCTTGTGTCTTCCATTACTATTACTGCTAAAGCCAAATGCAATTAGACTGTGTTCCTTCTCCTCACTGCTGAAATCCTTCTCCCCTGAGGTTACGAAATCAGCTCAGCATCAACAACAAATCAAGATGCAAATTTGATTATTGTAGAGTGCTTTGTATTTGTCAGCCACTAATTATGTCGCTATAACGCTACGTTTTGTTTTCAAACCCATGCCTGTTCAATTCAGCAGATTCTGTTCCTCGTTAAATCTTTTATACGCTCATCATGTTTACATTACAGTTTGTCGCACAAATACCTGAAATGCAGAACCTTTCAGTGTTTTCTGTGTTTACAGTATGACTTGAGCATTTGGCAGTGACTTCATTTACACCCAAGCCTACTGGTATTTTTTCCCCCTTCACACAAGGCAAGTGAGGAACACAAAGACATAGTTTTTACTTAAATCCCAACACTCATGTCGCCCCTAATGTTGGGCTCACGTCTGCTTTTATTGAGTTTTTAGTTTGAATTATCTCATGTAGTCTAGGTGGAAAAGTCTGAAAAGGAAATGAAGAAAACCACACAAAAGACACTGAATGTAGAGACTCAGACCACATAAATTAACTCGTAAATAAACCACAGCTAACCACAGGATGTGCCAAGAAAGGCGTTGAAAACAGCTTACTCATAACTTGGAAACTGCAGTGCAGGGAAATCGCTTTAGATTAATGTCCTACTAAATTAGACACAGACCCATGGATGGGTAATAAATGGAATTAATTTGAAGTTATGTTAAATGGTTGAATTGTTGAAGTGAAGTAGTCGTAGTAAACAAATAGAGATAGACAGACACAAAAGATAAATGTGGTCACCTTAAACACATTAATGGGGATGGCGATGATGATATAAAGCAGATCCCCCAGTGCCAAACTGCCAATCAGGACATTGGGTCCATTCCTCATGCACTTGTTCTTATATATGATCCTGAGCAGCGTTGAGTTGCCGATGATCCCCACCACAAAGATCAGACAGGACACGATGGTGTTCACATACTTGAAGGCGTACTTGATCTCCGTGGGATTTATGCACATGGGGGGGAAGGAGCCCCGAGGCCGGGCTGGCTGTAGGGGCGGGAGCTGGACGGAGGAGTTGTTCTTAGAGGTTTCTGACGCTTCGGAGCCTCCCTGGGAGTCGCGGATGAATCGAGATGCTCCTGCCTCCACGGCCATCAGGAGACACAGAAGAATGACAGCCCTCATCCTCACAAGATGTTCACTTACTCAAAGGCACACAGCAGTCTAAAAAAAAACCACACTTACAGGCAGTCACACACACGCATACTCAAACACTCACACACAGCCACACACAGAGTCTTGCTCCGGGCCTGGCACCATGGGTCGAGCTCGTCTGTCCTGCAGAGAAAGTAGACGAAGCAGCATGTCACACACAAACACAGAAACAGTTGCAGACAGAGATCCTACTGGCTTTGTTGATCCCCCAACATTTTCTATAGTGACACCACCAGGTCAAAGGTTTTACTTATCCTGTGAAATGTCTCAACATCTACTAAGTGGAACGGCACAAACTTTTGTAGAGACATTCATGATTACAAGAGGATGAATCTTAATGACTTTGGTGAGCCCTTGGCTTTTCTAACTAGCATCACCATTGTGCTTCTGAGTGAAATGTCTTGACAACTATTAGATTGCCATAAAATAATTAAATAATTAATGTCTCCCTCAGGATGAATTGTCACTTTGTTACTTTGGTAATTCATCCCTCAACTTTTTCATTTTGTGCCGTCATTAAAATTTGTTTTTTCAGTACCTTTATGAATTTTACTCGTATTTAATTACGCATTACACTAATTAATCTACTTTGCTGTTTTTAAAATCACAATTCGCTACTGAGTAGGCCTACAATTTGACTTATATCCAAACCATTCATCTGCATTTTTGTAGCCAATACACCAGGGACACACAAAAGGTGGAAGTGCACTTCCTTTCAGCACTCGCAATCTGCGGTGGTACTTCCAACTGCAATTCTTTCCATACGCCAGAGCAAGAAAACACATTGCAGGCTAATGAAAACCTGCTTCATTTAAACGCGGCACAGGTTTACAGAGGTGACCAAACTGACCAACTGCACAGGAGTTGGGATTAATTTAGGGACTGAAAAATTGGAAAAGAACTAATTTGTTTGGCTGTTTGTTTGCAGTGCATTGTGAGAAAATGTGTTCTACGCAGGTTGAAAACATTTTTATTATGCTTTTAAGATACAAACTTCCTGCTTTATCTGTATATTTGTTCATTTATGAAAGAAATTTGCTTTGTTGAAAGTAGATATCTTCTACATGGATCTCCCCTTTTGATTAAATGCCTACTATTGATGATGCATCACCAACAGTTGATCATCATCATCATATTTTACTTAAGTATTTCTTAACACCAGTAGTTTTACTTGTAGTTGAGTAATATTCCAGTAATGTAACAGTACTCCTATCTGAGTATAGATTTTTACTGAAACCACTGTCTAATACCTGCAAAGCTAATTACATTCCCATCAGCCTCAGAGGCACTGTGTGTTTATCTCCGATTACCAAATGTAAGCATGCTAACAAACTCAACAGTATAGCCTCACAGGGGCCTATAAGTGAATTTGTTGATGAAAAAATTAGTTTAACTATCGCAAAAACAGGGCAAAAGCATCCATTCACCAGGGAGCTCAACTTACTGATCCCACTCTTTGTCAGCAACGGCACATATATGTATGTACACAATGCATGTCATTACAACACTGTTATTTTTTGTATAATGAATGTATTATAGAATATAATATACAGAAAATAAAGTGAAATGAACCGAAAGGGATGAGAGCAGTGACACATCAGAGACATATGAAACAGTGATAACTGAGGTAATAGGTTAGATGAGGAACAGCCCTTCTGTGTGTCCAGTGTGTGTGTGTGGGTATGTGTGATACTTTCTTTCTCTCATAGACAACACTAGCGAGGCTTTGAGCCTCTCAAGAATCATGTGTACCCCCCAAAATACCCTGGGGCGTCTGGCAGGATAAATGGGCTTATTGATGATGGCGACAATATCTGTGCAGACACGCTATCAGGGCACACAATCACTCACACACACACACAAAGATGTCACAAAAACATCTCTCAGTCTCTGAGCTGACGTGCAAACCTCTTGACACTATGGTTCTGAAAGAAAGGGGTTAAGAACAAATGCTTAGTTTACTTTTTTTAAACTTTTTGATCACATCCTTGAATGTGCATACAAACACACACACACGCACACACACACATGCACTCTCTCAAACACAACTGGCATTCATATCTACATCTGGCTGAGAAACACAGAGGCTTGTTCTGTTCACACACACAAAGACACAAAATCACATGGATGAACTCACACACATATCACAAGAAATCAGTTTTGAAAAATTTGGCCAGCGTCCATACATTATCCTCTCTATCATCTGAATTATGTGTTGTGTTGTATAACATGGTACCTCATTAGGCCATGTTAGAGCAGGATTGTCTGATCTAATTGTAAAGTTGAATTTTAATTGGCCTGATCCTCTTAATCTAATTGCTTTAGAAACCATATCCGACTGTTAGCTCTGTTGGCTTCACATCTTAAGATAGAAGGAGGTGGAAAGTTGGAAACCAGCAGAGTGGAAGTGAAGTGGATACCGGTGGTGGTTAGAAAATATGTGTTTGTGTGTGGGAAGAGAGGGCGTAAAGAAGAGCGCAAAAACGTGAGAAAAATGTGTATAAAAAGTGCAAAGAAAACAAATACAGGAACAGAATGGCAATAAAAGAAGCCTAGATTAAGATGAATGACAATTTGATTTGTTATACTGTTTATTAGAACAAGAGGAGGAAAAGGAAAGCATAAGAAAGGCAAAGTGGGGGGGCAGCTGAAGTACAATGCCAAGGAGTCATGAGAGTGACCTGAAGGCAGGAGAGAGGCAATAAAAGACCGAGGTGACAGGAGGATGTAGGTAGGGTGGATTGAGAAATAATCTTAATGTTATTATTAACATTGTGTAGGTTGCTTGATCATTTGATGAAGTTTAATAATCAGGTGACAAACATAACATGGTGGAAAAACTACCAAACTTAACTTACTGTTAATAAAGGTATCAAAACAATTCTGTTAAAAGACTCCATTACACGTATAATTGAAAGTACTAATTCTGTAGTAAAATGGCCCCTGCGATTGAAATATTATTCTGATGTAATAATAATAAAAAAAAACATAATTCTGATGCATCAGTGGTTAAGCAGCCCTTTACTGTTGTACAGTAGCTGCTTGCGGTGGAGCTAGTTTTTTATATACTGTTCGGTACTTTGAGTGGAAATAGAGAATTTATCTTTATGAAGTAAATGTTGATTGCACGGTGTAAACTCACACTCTTTCTCCATTACATGTTGATATATGTATATGTTACTCTCCCCTCCACCCCAACACCAACACCTGCTGTTGTTACTTGTCTGTTCCCAACTTCAATATAAAATTATGACATTTTCAATGTATCTCTTCGGTGAACATGTGTCTTTATTCTCTCTTATTTCCAAACTTGTGCTGATCATTTCTAAACGTAAAGCTATCTATTGTCTGTGCAATGAACAATAATACCACCTGGAAACACTGGGGGGGAAGTTGAAAAGTTCCACAAAGTTTCCACTTTACGTCCAGTGATTCCGACAGGGGTCAAATCCCTCCAAAAGATCACAAGATAAATCCGAGGGGTTGTGAGTTGATTAATGGGAGAGGAAAGAAGAAAGCTTTTCATTTTTATGCCTCTTTTCTCACATCTTTACTTTATTTCTGAAATATTGGATAATTTTACCTCTTTGGGACTCAGTAATTTCCCCTTTAAACTTCTCACATGATTTCATTTAAACGGTAATTTCACCACGTGAGAAGTTTGGAGGGGAAATGTCTCTTTGATGAAGCTGATAACAACTTACAGACATATGAAACAAAACATAGGGCCTCGACTAGATACAGTTTGCAAGAGGTCACAAGCTGAAAGGTTTGAAACTAACGGTTTAATCTTAACAATAACTTTAATTAACAATATACTGTATTATATGTTTTTATTGCAACGTTGTGATTGGAAAAAGAACTAAATCTGTCAGATAAATGTGGTATAATATTTGTGTCTGATAAACGCAAGTAAAGTACAAGTACCTCAAAACTGCAAATAAGTAAAGTACTGGAGTAAATGTACTTAGTTACTATAATCCAGGACACATTTGTAAACAATCTAATACAATATACTCCTGCAACAAATCTTATATGTGAAGCTTAAAATGTTTATGGTGAAACTGTGTCACAGAGGCTGGCATGTGCATACTTTTTGTTTTTGTTTCATATTGATTAGGTATTGGACAGGTTTTGAAATATTTTCAATATTTTTTCAAAGGAGGGATGTTACCTAAAATCTTTGTCTGATTAACAATAAACCAGCGTCAAATACAACTTATCTAAAGTATATGTGTCTTATATGCATAATGTCTTCCAAGCCTCACTATTATATGATATGAATGATATGAAATTAATTTCTTAATACACAGAAATAGTATCTTAGCCACACAATATCAGCATCTTCTTATTTCTAGGTATTATTGAAGCAATTATGCCTTCTGTAGAGAAGTGGTAAGAGACAAATATGGAGGCGAGAGAGGCAGCCATGCAGCCAGAGGAAGTGCATATTTTTCAGCAAGCTGTTTCTTCAAGTGAGGATGAGGAACATGTCAGGAGAAATACACTCCACTTCTTTGCATGTATTAATGTTGTCATGTACAGTGTTTGAACCAACCTCAGTCAAATGTAAAAGTACATTTCCTTCTAACAGTGTCTCAATTCATTCTAGGCATATATTTATTTAATTATTTCCCTGCACAGAGGGGCTGATTCAACTCTGTGGTCATTTCTGTAGTTTTTGGTGTTGTATTGCCATTGCAAGGTGTTCCTGTTATTTTGACCCCCCACCTGTTTCCAGTTTGGAATAACAGAAACACCCCAGGGTCATAACAGTACCCTTAAGTAGAAATGCAAAAACTAATCCACAGCCATCACAATGTGACTTAAAATGAAAAAATACCAGCTGAGTTTGAGCTCCACTGCACCTAAATGTAAGGTTTGACAGTTAGGGTTTATAGCCCCATTTTCGACCCTTTGTCAAAGTGTGAAATATAGTTTTTGTGCCAGTTCCCTGGAGTTTAGTGGTCTCCTCGGTGAACAGACCCAATAAAGCCAGTCTGCTAAGGACCAAACGCCAGTGAACTGAAAGTATTTTTATTCTTTTGATTTAAATATGTGTTTGTGAGTGCAGCAATATATAATCATGTGCCAGCTTTTATGGCACCTCCAGGGCGCTGCATGACGCCATCACACACTCTACAGGTCGTGAAATGGAAAAGTGTGCATACTGTGCGACGATCGAGCTGCAACAAAGCGGTCCTTCTATTTTTCACGGTATTGTTTAAGCATCTGTGAGGCCCCTCCAGTCCATCACATACACTTTAAATAGGCTAGAAAAACTTTCGACAGCACCAGAAAGACATACTCAATGCGTTTTTAATGGCGGCAAATGTGACCCATGCCATGCAAAACTAATGCAATTCGTAAAAATGTGAAATGGATCGCAAGAATACCAGTTCATAAACTCACAAACCCTCTAATTCAACTGGATAAATGACAATGGAAAGATAGAAAAGGAGAAAACTTTTCCACGCACAATAAAAGTTTTATGCAGTTCAGTAGCTTAACTTAAGTCATGTGGTTGTGGTTACCTCTCCTTCACTGCTTACAATTAAACTGGGCATTTAATCAAATCACGGCCGATGACGTTATCAGTCTGAACTCACCGGAACCGCGGTGTTGTGGTTGTGGTCCAAGCCAAAGGTTTCCGATCGATATTCCAGCAGAGTTCCACTGATTGGTCAGATGCTTTATCGATAATTTTCGGTGGGTTTTCAGCAGTGTTGTTCACGTTGTTTTCCAGCGAGTCCCCGCCGTGCATCAAGGGGGGTCCTCCGCTCCGGTTCTGCCTGCGCTCTGGAGAGACCCGAGCGACTGTGCTGGGTTTTTATAGCCACACGCCGGGAGGCTGAAGAGGCAGCCAATCACATCACAGACGCGAGCATCCTTCCCTCCTAACTGTCAGGACACAACTTTATGAACAGTGTTCCAGAAAATGCGCAACGCTGCACCGGTCTCTGATTTTCCAGCTCTTTAACAACAATTAAATACTTCTTTGGTTGTTGGGCTGGTGACGTACACACAGCGCAGGTACATTTTGGTGATGAAAGAGGAGTTGTCTTTCTCTGACGTGCTGTAAAGCTTCAGTGGCTGACTGGCTGTTATGGGAATGGTTCAGCCTCCAGGGTCCCCCCACCACCACCACCAACCCCAACCCACCCGTCGCCTGCAGGATCTCACTTCAAAACACAAGATACACAAACTCCCTGCCTCCTTTCAAACACTTACGAAACCTATTCAGGTACTTAACCTATTCAGCTCCAATGAACTTTCCATTTTCACTGAATTTCATTTAATAATATCTTTTTCCAACACATTTATGACTATAGTTACTTTGCTGAAGTAGTTTAAACATGTGACTAATACTCATTAGCCTTAGATTACCTTAAAAAAATAATTACTTGTTTCAGGTTGATATATCCTTCATTTAAAGGTCCAGTGTGGAACATTTTGGAGGATCTTGAATATAATATTCATAGGTATTCATTGGTGTATAATCGCCTTAACATAAGAATCGTTATGTTTTCTTTACCTTAGAATGAGCTGTTTTTATCTACAGAGGCTTCTTTTAACTTCTCTTAAGTAACAGTGTGGATGCAGTTTTTCCCATTATGATCAATGGTGCCTCTGTTGAAACTTTTAATAGAATACAGAATTTGAGGACATTACTGGTGATGACGTCTGCCTTAAACTGTTACAATTACTTGTAAGTGGCTTGTTTGTCATTTCCATCTTTAATGTTATGTGACTTTTGAATTTTTCTGTAATGTTCACAGCATTAAAAAATTATAACACACTTATTGTCACGCAAACAGAAGCTATGTGCTGAAATTTATGTGTGCACGTTGTTCTGCACGTACAGAGTCTGTTGCAATCAGGAGGTCGTCCACTTATAAGAAGATTATCCCCGGCTCCTCCCACTGGATGTCGAAGTGTCCTTGAGCAAGATACTGAACCCTAAATTGCCCTCCGGTACTGTGCATCGGTTTATGAATATGAATAAATGAATTAGTTTCTGTTTGTGATGGCCTTTGCCATCACTGTATGAATGTGGCGTATATTTGTAAAAGCGCTTTGAGTGGTTGGAAGTACAGTCCATTTACCATTTAGCCACACCACATGGCATGAATATAATATGACAGACAAACCAAAGAATTCTTTAATAATTTGATATACACAATATACAACAACAATACAAAACAACTCACAACATTTGTTTTTATCAGCACTTGTGACACACTCATGCACACACACGCCCTTGCACATACAAACAAAGACACCAAACACACCAAAAGCAAGAGCAATCTTGTAACCCCGACCCTTCGCACCATCACCATCAGCAATGCCATTAAACCAGTGGGCCCACAAACACACACACACACACACACACACACAAGGTGCAGAGCAATGCAATATTGAGTTGGGGAGACATAATGCGTATAACCATGTGTATAATGGTGATAATGTCTCTTAACGGTTTAATAATATGAGACTGTGCTAATGACAATAATGATGCACCAGGAATAGTCACCTCCCAAAATAGAGCACGGGATGGATGTCATTAAACAGACTCCACAGAAAGGTCCTTTGTTTGGTGTGTGTGCTTGTGTGTGTGTGTGTGTGCAGAGGACGTGCTGTTGCCCATGTTGCCATGTAGTCTACGTGGCCTTGGCAGAGCGACACTCTTGGACAGTTATAAGCTATAAACTTCTTCCTGATCTGTAAACACTCTACATTCTCTATGACAGGAAACAAGCTCTTTTTAAACTTTAGAGTGTGCACTGTGGTTCCTGACAGAGTCTGAATGTGAAGAAGATTCTTTATTTACCCAAAATGTTACAGAGACGTAAAAAAAAAAAACAACCGAAGGCCGACAGAGAGAAATGTGATAGAAAATCTCTTCATGTCTTTGAACTGAGCTAATCGCTAAAGAGCAAGGCATGGCTCCATCTTCAGGCTGATGTCCACAGGGAGGAACCTGACAAATATTTCTCTGCACCACATGGCTCCTGCGGTACACAGATGTCCTCGAACTTGCAAAGAGTCTCTGTTTCTAACATCCCCCCATCCACAAATGTTGTTGAGTAATATAATAAAAACTTTTACATTACGGGAACCTTTCTATTAAATACATTTCTTCCTCTGTGACTTAATCATTATAGCTATTTTTGCTGGCAACCATACAATTCATTCTTCCTCTGAGTTGTAATGTGACAAATAACCTTGTAATGTACTGGCCTTTCCATCACACAAGCACAAAAAAGCACAAAAAGAATCATTCTTGTTTCTTAATCATCTATTTTTATCAGCTTGACCTTTTAAACTCTTGAGTTTCCGTAAATTAGAAAAAAAATCCCACTGTATCACAAAAGCTGCACTATTAGACCAAATGGACTTGTTTTTAATGCTTTTGTTACCACAAATTCATCCCAAGATATTTGGCATCTTTGCATATTTTGGGGTCTTGAACAGCGTTAAAAGAAAACTATCTGTGGGTTTAAACAATGCTCAGTCACACAACATTAGGTTTTAGCAATAGACTCACCACTGGGTGCTTCTTAAGTCTTATACACACCAGACACATCAGGGTAACATGGCACCATCTCAAATCACATTCGGCTGTGTCTATTGTGTCTATTAAAATAATACTGCTATCATGTGAAAACCCTTTCATGCCAATTTGCAGATGTCCATGTTTTCTCTTTGTATAGAGGATTACATGCTCATCCATGCATTGAAAAAGTCCTCTGAACTCTTAAGAGGCTCAAGAAAACCTTTGACACTCACTGAATAAGGTCAACAGACATAAAAAAAGACTGTTTTTGAATCTTTGAAAAAGAAAATATGAATTTGCATTTATGAACAAATCTCAGCAAAGGATGAAGTCCTTTAGCTGGCCTGATGATATGGATTATAAGAGAGAATTCAAGAAATCATTAGCCAACAGACACTCCAGACTGGGCGTGTCTGCTGAAGCAGGCCAGTGATAAATACTAAATCAGGCACCCGAGGATTGAATAGATGCATTGACATAAATCAGCTGAGGCTGATGAGCATGATCAGTAAATGTTTCCTACTGACTCTGAAGACAAGTGCAAGGAAATGTTTGAGTTGGCTGGCAAATCTAAAATTGATGTCTAAAACCAGTAACTTTTAATGCAATGAAAAATTTAAAGGATATGGAGGATGTTTCTTTTGAAGGACCAGGGTGTAAGATTTAGAAGTTGCAGATTGCAACTAACTGAGCACCGCTTATATCTGTATTTGACAACCATAAACAGCTGTAAAGTGTGTTGGAGAAACGAAAATGCATGAGGCCCTATCTAGAGCCAGTTTTTGTTTTCTCGGCCCATATAAAAACATGGCGGTTCAACATGGCAAACTCCATGGAAGGCGACCCGCAGCGTCTGTAGATAAAAACAGCTCATTATAAGGTATAAGTACTCTGCACATTAGTCAGGTCAAACTCATTGATTCATCCTAGCAAGTAAGAGCAATGCTTTAACGGTTAAAACAAAAACATCTTCCATTGTTTCAGGATTTTTCTTGCAGAACTCTTATACTGAAAACACAGCAATCAACACAGGGGGGAGGAGCCAATTTATTTAGTGGTCTCATGCAATGGTTTTCATGCACAAACAGGCACAAAAGAAGATAATTGAGTTTCACAGCAAAAGACTGTACATGGTAGAAAAAAGGGGGAAAAAAATAGAATGAAGAAAATCATTTTGCAAAGGCATTCAAAAATTCTCTTCATCCGTCCCGTGACTACCCAAACCAACACCGCCCTTCCTGCTCTGCCCCCCACCCTGCCCCAACATTGCAACACATACACAGACACACACACGTACAGTGTTGCAACCCTGCAGCTGTCTGGATGTTTTCTCCATGCTTCTGATGTCCCATTGGACCAAAGCCTTGAAGTTGTAATATGTGTACCGGGTTTGTGTGAGATCCTGTGCGTCATACAGGGGCCTTAAAGGTATCATGTGAAGCAATTTACATGTATTAAACGCTTTGTATTGACAATGTGTGAACGGATTGTAACACAACTTTTAAAAAATTAGACCATCCCAGACGTTCTCGGTCTAACAGCCTGTGGACTAATTTCAATGAAGGAATTTTTCCAGGAAAATCCAAATGATGTGACATTAACGCGTGCTTCTGAGTGCCTTCAAACTGGCATCCTTCAGTCTCGGACGCTGTGTTCACTGTTTTGGCTGATGCCCAGGATGCGTGTAGCAACACAGTGCTGACTACAGTTCACCTAACGGCCACCAGTGTCATTGTTATTAATGACACTGGTGGCCTTTAAGTGAACTGGATTTGCTGAAAATTCCACATAAAGGTACTATGTGGAATTTTCAGCAAATCCACTCACATATTCATATTCATTCATATTCATACTCACCCTCACATATTTGAGCAGCGAAATTTCTGAAAAATTTTCTCAGCAAACCGGGATGAACCCAATCAACCTTATGTCTTATTGAAAGGGCAACGTCAACCTTACTCTTGGTTCACTGTTTCTTCCACAACCATGACAACAGCCTGGCCAAGGACGGCTTCATCAGGAGATTGCACTTCCTATTTTAGCTCATTTGCTGCCATCAGTTCTCATCAGCAATGAGGACATGAGGCACTGCCAGCTTCCTGAACTGTACAGTATGCGCTCTTTTCACAAAAGTGGGACTTCTTCCAAGGATTTTCTGAATCAGTGCTCTGCTGTGAGGTGGAGTGTAGTATCATTTCTTCCAATCCCTCTGGACACTGATTTCATACCACATGGCCGTGAAGATAAAGTTCTCTCATCCTTTCTCACTAATGTGGA